CCCCAAAACCCCAAAACCCCAAAACCCCAGAGTGTAAATTTTAAATTGAGGATTAATAAATTTTCTTCCTAAAGTTCTGAATTTAGATTAATTAAAAATTTCATTTCACTCCAAATGTCCATAATCCGAAAATTTATTACTGTACAAATCTTAATACTAAGTTATCAATACTGTTGGTAGCTGAACTTGATCTTGTCTTCTTGCTTTGCCTTGTTTTTCCTTGACTATCTATAGAGAATTATAAAAGAAATCGAGGTAAATCTCTTAAACATGAATACTGCCCCTACTAAAGCCAGTTGAGAAGAAAACTTTGTGGGGTCACTGAGCAGAAGTGAGGTCGCATACTGGCTTAGGATAGTTAGAGAAGTGGGAAGAGAAGGATCATGGAGAGGATTTAGGGGCTGGGGTAAGGAGGTAGGGGTATTACCGGGGAAAAGAGATCTGGTCGGTCTGTGAGGTTCGGGTTTGAGAGGGGTGAAACATGCTCCTGTGTTGAAGTGGATGGCGAACTTTCTGGCATTAGTGTGCTCTTTTAGTTTTCTCCGAAAGCAACTTCTTGGGGAATTTTTGATCTTACGGAGGTACTATATATGTTTGAGTTAATGGAGACTTTGTTAGAGAGTATTTGGTTAAGTAATTGGAGAATTAGACATATAAACAAGTTATTAGCTTAGAAACTGGGCATCCAATTGTTCTTGATACGCTTAGATTTATTAAAAATATAGAACCTATTTGCTTATCCTCATTGTATCAAGCAGGAAGATGAGATATTTGTTTCTGAAAAATTGCTTTAGGCCCTTACTTTGTTATTTAGCAAACATTAAATCATTTTGAGAGACATTGAAAATAATATTTGATGACTTCTTGAGAGAGTAATTCTTACTGTTCCTTGATGAACTCCTCAAGGCTCTAAATAAGGTGAAATATAACATACCTCTTCTTGGTAGTCATCTTATTTTGGATTAAGAAGCTTAGCATTTTCTTTAAGTTTGAAGGTCACTCTTCTAGAAGTCTTTTCCGATGGTTCGCTATTTATGAAAAATTTACTCAAGTTATAGTTTTCGAATTTTTATGAAAATAAGAAACGGTTGCATGTTAGTAAGCATCTTTGATTTTTCTTTGTAGAATAGTATTTATATCATTGAGGGTAAGGAGTAAGCTGAATCTGTTTACATTTTAATAAGCAATTAAGCTCTAATTTCAGAAACATATCTATCTAAAGTTCTTCTAGAGGTTCATAATTTGATAGGGGGTCTAAGAGGCGACTTTAATGTAAACAATTCACTTACTGTAATCTCTTTTGGGATTTATGAGCCATGAGTCTTTTAAATCTGTTCGTGGTCTGTCTTTTATCAAGAATCAGCTGTTTATAGTACGAAGTTATTGGTATATCAGGATCTGCTCCTTGTTCAGCTGAGGAATTTCGATTTCTAAACTATTACCCATTAGAACTACCTGGGTGTTCGAATGATTCCTTTTAGAGTTTTTACAAATAATTTTTCATTCTCATTGTTCAATACTTCTTTAGATTCCTGAATAGCTTCTACTTCTTGAATTGATGTCTGTGGTTTCTTAGCATAATATCTAGATATAAATAGATGGAAATTACTTATTTTAAAACATCTAATTTCTTAATACGCTTGTCTAGCAAGTTAAGCTTATCCATGACAGAGTGTAAGCAACAAGATAAAGTATTCTTATTCTTGACGCGTTTATCAAATTCAGCATAACTCATTCTGAAAGCTTTTCCTGAGTCTGAAATTCACCTAACTTTGAAGAACCTATCTTGGTAAGGTTTGCTTACCTCTGACTTCTAGTATTATCACTATACATATTTCTATCTTCTACTATCAGTTCTTCATCGCCGATGATGCATCTGTTGTTGAGAAGCCAAATCCGGAGGCTTTTCTTTACTCTTTTGCAATCCTCAGGGAGATTTTTTAGAGATTTCTTAATCGAAATATTAAAAATGCTCTTATTTTTCTTCATAAAATCAGCCGTGTTTTCCTATTTTAAATGTTATTCCAGTAATTGCGGCTCGAGCAGAAGGAAAATTTGAGTATTTACCTCAATTAGCAAATCTGTGAAACCAGTAGAAGGATTCATTTTGTGATATTCTATGGAAACCTTCTCTTCGTGACTTGAGACAGTGAAAGTCTTGGATATCTCATATTCTCCTTCTAGAAGGAAATAAAGGCAGTCAGATGGGTCACCCTCGTCATAAATTATCTGGTTACGAGTGAATTCTACCTGTGTTATACCTTTAAAAAGTTTAATTTTATGAGCTCTAGTGAGTGACTTGAAGTTAAGGAAATGATCTAGATCCTCGATTAGAGAAAGGATCTTGTCTCGTTCAAATTTCTTCAATATTGTCTCAAAAGAATCTTTCGTTAGACCAGCTCACCATGTATCTTCAGAAGCAATAAGGGTAGCAGATCTAGGCTTGCCTTCGAGTAACCCGATTTCCCCAAAAATCTTTCCATGATTGAGTTCAGAGAGGTGGACAAGAAATTCTATTTCATAGGTCTCCTTTGCTTTCCCGTACAATTTCATACTCATTTCTGACATTCTCGGGCTACATTTTTAGTAAGAGTTGGTGAAAGTTAAAATTTTTCACAAGAAATAAATTTATCTTAGTGATTTATTGAACAAAATATTACCTCAAGCTTTCATAGGTTAAATTTCGTAACCGTAAAGGAAGTTCAGGGATTCCATTATTCATCTTAGGTTCTTCAAATGCAATTTTAGCAAAATCGAGAAGAGATTTACTCGGATGCTTTCCATTGATGCTTTGGATAAGACATTTTTGGAGATAAATAAACTGGAGTAACTCTCTAAATGTTCATTCAATATTTCTAGTGGCTTCTAAATAAACTCCAATTTTCCCTTTAAGGATTATATAGAACTCTTGAGCAAAATCCCCTTGTTTCATGATGTAATCTCCTTTACTGAAATGCCTCCACCTTAGCTGTTTGGAGCATTTATGGACGACTTCTCTTTTCCCTGAATTTATGTACTCTCGAAAATATTCAAACCCTTCTAGGTAGCTTGTTAGCTCTCGAACTTGCTCCTTGTTTCTCAAGTGAGGGTTTATTTTAAGTATCTCTATATACATAATACATCTTTGTCGAATAGGATCCGACCCAGGAGAAAATAAAACTAGAGTAACAACACTACTTTAAAATCTCATTTCCATTAAACGTTAATTTTGTGGTGAGCTTAGTGCCTTACCGATAGTTCTAATTTTAGAAGTCTTTTTCTCTTCTGGAGTTGAAGGAATCTCTAACACAGAGAAAAACCTGTTCACCCCAAGATCATCTACGGATGTTGATTTCTTATCAGTGCAAGTTTTCATTTATAAATTATATAGATAAAATCTTCCCTTCTTGGGGTTTTGGGGTTTTGGGGTTTTGGGG